ATTTAAACCTGGCCTTGCTCTTCCCCTAAATTTTATGAGAAGGTAAAATTTGGACCCACTCTACTTCCCAGATCTGGTCAGCTGGGTGCCCATTTTGCTCTGCACAAGGGTGCTGTCATGCGGCTAAAGGCAGATGTTCCCTTGTTGCCAATTATTTCATGGTCAGATTCACCTAGAATTTAAATTCCTGGTTTGGAGATGGGAAATAAACCAACAAAAAACTAATTTAAATTTCATATGAAATGGTGCTTCTGCATTGCTTGACATTGTCAAAATACAAATTGCCCCTTGGTGGTGGCAGTAGCTAAAACTTTCCTTTAGATGAGGCTAATTCTTCAAAGTCATTTCCCACTCCCCCTCTGTGTTCCATCCAAATCCTACCCAATCCATAGGTTACATCCTGGAAGAAATGTATGTCTGGATCATGGAAGTCAGTATATGGTATGCGTATTTATGTGGGTAAGCATATATGTTCTACATAATATATATTATGTGCATAATTATAAACAGATTTGGAATAATTTAAATAGAGTTTTGATGTCTGCTTTTTCACTTAATATGTTGTAAACATTTTCTCATGACGCTCCGTATTTGTTGAAGTCGTGGTGTTGATGAGCACTTAGTGTCCTACACACAGTATGGTTTTCATCATTTACTTAGTCATTTCCCTCTTGATGGGTTTTTAGGTTGTTTTCAGAGTGTTGCTGTGGTAAACCATGCCTGTGAACATACTTGCACACTAATCTCCTTACTGATCTCTGGATTATTATCCTAGCACAATTGCTAGGGGGGGAATTTCTGGGATGGATGTTTTTAGGGGTGTTAATCCTCTGTTCCCTAATTGTTCCATGTTAGATGAGCCCTCCTTTAGGGTTTGCCAGCTTCATGGGGCAAGAATCACATCTGCCTTGTCCCTGTGGTAGCCCTACATGACACAGTGGTGGAAATAAGACAAATGAGTAATAAATATAGTTAGATGGATAATTAGAAGAGTGGGTGGGTAATAACCCTGCTTCTCCAGTAATTAATCTGAGACAAGACTGGCCATATTGATGACACTTGAAAAGCCCCTCCCTTCTTCTCTCCCTCTCTTCCTTCGTACCTTCCTCACTAACATATAAAAGTATATATATTTAAGGTATAAAAATTGATGCTTTGATACAACTACTCATGTATACATAATCACAACCAAGCTCATTAACATATACATTACCTCTGCATTGCTACCGTGTGTGTGTGTGTGTGTGTGTGTGTGTGTGTGTGTGTGTGTGTGTTTAATTTAAAATCTATCCTCGGGGATCCCTGGGTGGCTCAGCGGTTTGGCGCCTGCCTTTGGCCAAGGGCGGGATCCTGAAGTCCCGGGATCAAGTCCCGCGTCGGGCTCCAGCATGGAGCCTGCTTCTCCCTCTGCCTGTGTCTCTGCCTCTCTCTCTGTGTCTGTCATGAATAAATAAATAAATAAACAAGAAAATAAATCTTTAAAAAAATCTATCCTCTTAGCAAATTACAGCATACAACACAGATTTGTTAACCATGTCACATGTTCTACAGATCTCCAGAGATTATTCATCTTGCATGATTGAAATTTTGTACCCTTTGACTAACACCTCCCCACTTCCTCTCCCCAACCCCAGCTCCTGGCCATCACTGTCCCATTGTCTGCTTCTAAGGATCTAACTATTTTAGGTTACACATGCTAGTGAGATCATGCAGTGTTTTGTGGAGAAATTGCATCCTGAACACCTTCTGGGAGAATGGATGCATCCATCCCTACATGGTTGTATCTTTTCCCCAGTCTCCTTTTTTTTTTTAAATTAAAAATTTAGTTATTCATCTGCTATGACACAGTACACAAGAGGCAAAGTGTTTCACATCATAGATTTCACTTCCAACTCCTTGGAATGTTCATTTCTTTGGCTAAAAGGAGAGACTAGGCATGAAAGGCAGGCAATGCTTAGGCAACTAAAATAAGGATGGGGAGGGGGCTATGCTAATGCCATCTTCACAGGGACTGGCATAAGGGGACTGTTAGTCACAAGCTATTTTCTAGAACTGTTAGCTGGAAACAAAGGGGCATTACTCCTAGACGCTCATGCTGTGGTGGGCTTCAGTCATCCCCACCACACAGGTACAACAGCGCTTTCTGGTAGTCGCCCTTGGTGTCTTGCTGGATGTAGTAGTACAGGGACTTGCCATACTTTCTCTTGAATTCAGACCTAATTTTCAACATGTCCACTTCACTGCGAGAGACCATGATTCTATTTTTTTTTTAAAGATTTTATTTATTTATTCATGAGAGACACAGAAAGAGAGGCAGAGACACAGGCAGAGGGAGGAGAAGCAGGCTCCATGTAAGGAGCCCGATGCGGGACTCGATCCCAGGAATCCAGGATCACGTTCTGAGCCAAAGGCAGATGCTCAACCACTGAGCCACCCAGGCGTCCCAAGACCATGATTCTACTCAGGACTTTATCATGAGTCCCCTTGGCCTTCATGGAGTCATACAGTCGGTCAGCAAAATCCAGGGGCTTGTTCTGAATGCACTGGACCAGGTTCAGGAAAGCATTTTCCAGGTCTCCTTTGACCTCCTTCTTGATGCTCTCCAGGATGTCATAAGGGCTGTAGCTCTTGTACCTTTCAATTACTTTCTGGAGGTGACACATACTCCTCTCGGTCATGATGCTGATCCACCAAGGCACATCAGTTCCTTTCCTCTTCACTCCAGCATCATAGAGATCCCGGGCATATTGGTCAATCAATCAAATCAATGATAGAGCCATCCTCTGCTCTTCTACCCTTTGCAAATTATGTCCTTTTCCAGGTTGGTCTTGTACATTTCCTTGTAGACTCTGTTAATTTCCTGAAGTTCTTGGTTGTTCCTTGAGCAGATCTCAATGAGAGGGAGTCCTCATCAGTCCCCAGCCCCTTCATGGAGGCTTTCAATTCAGAAGCATTATATGGAGCAAGTGTTTTCAATAGGCCCAAAATCACAGTCTCCAGGTGGCTGAACAAGGCTGACTTCAGTGCTGATGCAAGTTCAATTTTGGTCCTTCTCTGGTAGGCGAAGGCAACGTCCTGTTTATTGTTGCAGTTGGTCAAAATGTTGAGAATGGTGACCTCACCCACACCTTTGGTCTTGATGGCTGTTTCAGTGTTTGCAGCATCACAATTCGTATATGCTTTGACTGACTCGTATGCACTTGGAGGCGTGGAGTGATCGCCTTCCAAGCTGAGTTTGCAGAGAATTTAGTGAACAGGAGACATTTTGAAGGAAGCTGGGCGGGCCGGGTGCTGAAAGCTGCGAGCGTCCCCAGTTGTAGAGCCTCCCCAATCTCCTAATTACAATTTTGTCATCCTCTGGGCAAGGAAAGCTCACCAAGCACAGGCCTGTAAAGGGGTCCCCAAATTAAATCAATAAAAAAAGTATATTTTGCGAATCTGTAATGGCTGCAATAAAAAAAGTTACCAGGAGTTAGAGTCTATGGAGTGGTATTTGTTTGCCTTTTATTCACCCCCAATGCTACATTTTAAACACTGCTGCCTGGTTGCATTTCTTCTTGCACTGGCTCTAGGGTTGGAGATTTATTATTTTAGGGCAGAGAAGAAGCCCTGTCTGTTCTTGGCCTGGTTCCTGGTGGCCTCTCTTAAGTTTGGAAAAGCTGGTTGGAAGTCTGTGTTTTCCCACTGAAAGAAACACACACACATACATAGATGTATACATACACACATATACATGTTTATGTATATATTTTAGTTAACAAAATAATACATAGTGGTAACAAATTTAAAGAAAGTAGAAATCTAGATGTCAAAACCCTTTCTCTTTGGTTCTGTAGACACACAAACATGTATATACATTTACACACACAAACACATGTGGAATCTTTTTTTTTATTTTTTTTTTACACATGTGGAATCTTAAAAAAATCCAAGTAGGATCATGAGGATACATTTATAATTTTTTATACTTAATGAGTGACATATTGTGGACATTTTTTTTTATTGTGGACATTTTTAAAGTATGTCCATGTAACTCTACCTTATTTTTCTTACACCTGCCTGTTTTTCCACTGTAAAAATTTGTGGTTTATCTAGTTTCCTGTTGATAAGCCTTTAGAATGTTTTCAACTAATAAATAGTAATAATAGTAACAATAGCAGGTAAAGACTGAGATTTATGTGTGTTAGCAGTATTCTGAGTGCTTCATAATTACTAACTCATTAATGCTTAATCCAACAATGTAGAACTTGTATTTACATCTTGCATATTTACGAGGACATTTGAGACACAGAGGGGTTAAACTAATTTGCACAAGTGGCTCAGTTAGGAAGAGGCAGAGGTGGGATTCAGATCCAGGCCTCTGGCTCCAGCACATGTGCTCTTAAGTTTGTTTGTGGGAAATGCAAAATGATGCTGCAATGAACATCCTTGCAGATAAATCAACCTCTGCGCAGTCCCACTAGGTTTTCAGAAGGAGAGCTTTCTAGAAGTGGGAACGCTGAGCCATAGTTTCACCCTCATTTCAATAAGAATTATGGAGATGTCTGAATGTTCACGTAGATGCTGCATCTTGGGTGGATGAGTAGAAGCGTAACTATCAAACGATGGAGTGGTAGCATGGCCTATATGATGGCATGATACTGGCTTGGGTGGGCTTTTGCAGGTTGCACAACCTCCTCTCTGTGGGGTGACCTAACAAAGAGGCTGTGATCCTCTGAGCTTGGGTCTTTGGAGAATAAGAGGAGGCGATGTTTTCCCTTGGGTGGAGAAGGGGGGAGACTATGCAGCCAAAGTCTATTGGATCAGTGGTACATGAGCTCCTTCCCATTCGACACTGGCTGTTTTGGAAGATTCCTGAAGAACCCTGTGCTGAGACTAGGGGAGGCCCTGTGGGCCGGGGGTGGTTTGCTGGAGCAGTGGGTGTAGACTGCACTGTTGTTAGTTTCCTGGCATCTCAGGGCCCGGCCTTTATTCTTCCTTTCCTTTCCTTTCTTGCACAGAGACGGAGAGCCGAGGCATTGTGGATAGCCTGCAGAGGTTTTCCTCGCTCCCTGCCTATCTGCCCACAAGCTTCCACATTGCTGATGCAGAGGAGGCCTTCTTCCTTAAAGAAGCCAACCAGGACGTCACAAGGAACTCCAGTCTGCAGGCCCGGGTGGAGTCCTTCTTTATCTACCGGGCCAGGAACCCCCCAACCATCAATGCCAGCTATGGCCCATTTTCAGCAGAGAAGACAATCCCCCAGGAGTTCATGTTGACTTCTGCATCCTTTGGAAACATGGAGAAGTTTCCGTTCAACTGGAAGCTGAAATCCCACATCCTTGACAGCTCCATCTACTCCAACAGACCCAAAGTGCAGACCTTGTTTTACATCACGGGGATGGACTGGGACGACAGTGACCCTGAGGAAAACCTACCGTGCGTCAAGATGTTTGCCTTCCCTGAGGCCAGGGAGGTGGCTGCCAGCTGTCGGCTGCGAGGGGATCCAGGGCTGTGTGTGGCTGAGCTGGAGCTGCTGCCCGAGTGGTTCAGCTCGGGGCTGGACCTGGAGCCAGAGGAGGAGATCCCGGCCCTGCTGGGGGGCACTGCCATGGAGCTCTTCTTCACTCTCTACCCGGCTGACCAGGCCGGCCAGTGTCCACTGGAGGAGGATGGCAAGTGGGAGAACAACATCCACTCAGGCCAGGACAGCCCCCAGCAGGTGTCTCCACCCCGGGAGAGGATTGGGAGTGTGGTAGTCTACCCAACTCAAGACGATCTGAAGTGGTCGCTGGTGAGCCTGGATGAGAACGTGGTCATCTCAGTACCCCTGAACCTTGTCCGGGAAGGGGACACGGCCACCTTTCTGGTCTCTCTGGCCAGCGGCTCTATGGCAGACCACTTCACTCTGAGGTAAGTGGCTTTGGTGGGTGGGATGGAACGGAAGCCAACTTTTGGTCATCAGTGAATTGTCAGTTAAAACGTGGTGTTACTAATCTGCTGAATATCCAGCATAGTGAGGAAATTGACCAACACAGAATAGAGACCCTGTGAGAGGACAAAGTGAAGCAGGATCTGAGGGCGTGGGCCTGGCATCTATGTTCTCTAGAAGCCAGGATTAATAACAAGTGCTCTGAGAGCAGCATGTCAGGCCGGCAGGTGACACTCTGAACCTATCACTGCCTGCCTTGACTCGCTGCCTCTAAGTGGAAACTTTGTAAATGAGTTCCACTTTCCAACTGCAGGAAAGAGCTTCCTGAGACATCTCCGACCTCTCAGGTTTTCATCAAAGTGAACAATCAGTAAAGAATCCTTTAGTAGATTAAACCAGTCTCTGTATGACGAAGACGCAGTTTGAGGACTGAAAAACGTGGGTAGCTTCTTTGCTCGCGGGACAAACCTCTCTCTAGCTGATTTTGCTCACAGAGCTTCGTGAACAGCAGTAGGATGCAGCAGCGGCTCTGCCAGTCCCAGCTGTGTGGCCCTGGGGGGAGTCGTCTAACCTCTCTCGACTTCTGCTCCCTCACTGGCGGATGGGGATAACGACGGGCTGTATGTCTCGGGGTTGCTGTGAAGATTCAAGTTGGTAAAGGTCTTGGAACAGAGTCCTCACTGAGTTAGCCTGTGGTGTTTGCCTGGTACTCAGATACCAGGGTGGGTGCAACAGAAGTCAGAAATGGGATCCTTCTAATTCTGATGGAGGCCGATGTGTGGATCACGCCTGTCTGGAGGTGTGCTCCTTCGGGCCTGCAGTAGGATCCTGAGGCTCTGGCAGATCCCAGGTGGGCTTATTAGCCTGCAGGAAGCCCACTGTCTGTTTGGAGCCTCCTGAGTTAGTTTTGGTGATAATGGAGTCAGAACTTAGTGTGGACCCAGCCCTGTGCTAGTCATTGCAGTGTTGGGGCTGGTTTGGTCTAAAGCCCAGTTGTCGCTCTGTAGAGATTCCTTCAGCCCAAGGCAGCATCAGACGCTTGTTCCACACCAAGCATGGCAAAGGTATGGATTCTGCACTCATACCACTCAAAGTGCCTTCTGCCCCTACAGACATTGCTAGTCGACACAGCACATCTGCCCGCCCTCTGCCGTGGCAGACACTGCTAATCGATTGCAGCACGTCCGCATTCCCTCTGTGTGCCTCGGCAGGGCAGACACGGTTCATCGGTCACAGCACTGAGCCCAGGACTCCTGGCCGACCCTACAAGTCCACGTGAGCTGGAGTGGTTGTCACTTATTCGCCAGGCTTGGCGTAGCGGGAACATCGCTGGTGAGAAGCCTGAGGAAAGGGAGGTCAGATGGGTCAGCTGGTCAGGGAGGCGTGGGGGCCGGGCCAGGGAAGTGGCGCACAGGTACTAGCTAGCTTTGCCCGAGGGCTGAGGATGGGCCAGGCACATTCTGAGTTGCTCACGTGCATTAAGTCACGGAATGCTGGCGGCTCGAGGAGGGGAGTACTGCCATCACCCCTGTTCCCCTGAGGCACAGAGGGGTCAGTAGCTTGCCCGAGGTCACACAGCGGGGGCCGGGGGGCCCTGGACAGGCTTCATTCCCTCGCAGCCCCTTCCCGGCTGCTGCCCCCAGGAGTGCACCTCCTCCAGCCGTGCGGGAGCGGGAGGCCGATGAGGACACGTGGGCGGGGGTGCCCCGAGGGGCAGAAACCCTCGATTCCCGCAGATTCCCGCGGAAGCTGCCGTGTGATCTGGAATGGGCCGTCGGGGGATCCGCCCTGGGAGTTCAGCTCTGGGGGAGGAGGGGCCGCTGTGCGTGGGTATCCGCGAGGCGGGCTGAGCTCTCCCCAGGGCTTGGATGCCGCGGCGTGGGGGGGGCTGCGGCGTGGGGGGGGGGGCGCGGCAGCCGGGGAGGGACGACACACCTTTGTTCAGACTTCAGTTGTGGCGCCTCGGTGCTGCCCCGGGGGAGAAGCATCCAGCCTGGAGCCTGCGAACTGTGGGCCACGCCGCCATCCAGACCGCGTGCTGGCGTCCCTGCCCCCCCCCCCCCCCCCCCCCAGTGTGCGCCGGAGCAAGGACGAGCATCCGCGGTGGTTCTCGGGCTCCTTGGGAAGCTCTGTCGGCGCTCACAACCCTGAGGTCGTGACCCGTACAGCCCCGAGATCAGGACCGGGGCATATCAGGAGCCCGAGGGCGAACGGCTGTCTCCCAGGAGCCCCTCACACTTTGCGGTTTTATATGTAGGAGTGCCAGGCCCCGTGCTCCTCTGTATATGCATTCTCCGAGCTGTATCATCGCAGACACTCTTCAAGGTGTCATTCAGATCCGTTCTGTGGAAGCGGAAACAAACCTGGAAAGGTCAGGGGTTTCTTGCTGAGGTCATGCGGCGGGCAGCACTGGTGTGGGGCACAGGTTTGCATTCGGGGATCAGAAACTCCCATTTGAGCCCCCTCTTCTGGACCGTTCTGTGTGTCTGGGTGGGGACTGATCTCTACGACCTTTCCGGGTCAGCGTCTAGGCGCCTATCTTAATGCTTTCCTAGGTATGACTTCTCCTTATCATGTGTTATTTCATGGCCAGAGAAAAATGCACTGAGATTGTGGATCACCCAAATGAGAACAAACAACGGCTGTTTGGTCAGAGCTTGCTACCAGGGGGAGTCCATCACCGTTGCTTGTGTTTGGCAGAGACTCAAGGGTGGGCAGGAGCGGGAGAGCTTATAGTGGAAAACCAGGTCCACGGGGGTGGGAGGGTGCTGGCTTAGGGAGACCAAAGGCAGGTTAACAAGAAGTGAGCATCTTACCTGACGGCTTTTCCTGCCTGGCCCTGAGTTGGAAGCAGAGACGACAAGAAGGGCCGCGGGCAGTCAGTCATGCACCAAATTCAGACCTTTCTGGGCGGACGACTGCAGAGGCTGTGGTCTGGCTCTTTGTCCTGATTGCTGCAAGGCGGTGGGTCGGAGTTTTATTATCACATTTGGTCTGGCAATTGTCCATTTGTATATTACTGTCTCTCAAAATAAAACACTGTGTTTAGGTCTAGGGAAATGTGTTATTTCCCAATATAACTGATTGTCTGTTTTAATCACGTCTTTTATGAATGAAATGTGACATATTTCATTCTGGCTCCGATGAAGCTCTGGATCAAAGCGTGGATGTGCACGAGATTTGCTGAGAGATCTAAATTCAGAGCTGAAGACGTGTGGAAAGGGGACAGATGTGTGTGTTTTCACGTGTCACATTGCTATTTCAGACTGCATATTGTGTTGGGGCCAGTTTGAACGAAAGTTGAGTTGATTATTCTCTAATATTGAAGTAGTTTCTGTTACACATTAGTATCTAAGTCTACCCATGCTTTGAAAGGCCTTTCGGCAAAGGGGTAGTAAAGTGTTTGGAGGGGTTGAGAGCTGCTGGCCAGGCCATGCTAGGCTGGACTCAGGTAGATCTTTGTTAGACTTCCAAGAAAGTTTGAAATACTGTGAAATTTCCCTACTCCAAATATAAAGTCCCTGAGGCTCAGAGAGATTCTGGAAAACTTTATGCCTGATTTGTAAAAAACAGCTCTCTCTCAGCTTGCACAGAGAGCCTTTTGGGCCAACCTCCCATCCTCTTATAAGCAGGGGAGCCTGGGGGTTAAGATTATGAACTCTGGAGCCAGTCTGCCAGTGTTCAAATCCTGCCTCTGCCACATGCCGACTGTGTGACCTTGGGTAAGTTACTTAATCTCTCTGTGACATCGTTCCCTGTCTACAGACCTGGACACTGTATGCTCTAAGTGATTATGATGGATCAACTCTGTGCTCAGACAGGTTCTTCCATTTCTTCCTTCTTTCTCCCTCCTTCCCTCCCCTTCTTTCTTTTTTAGAGGGTGATGGGGGCAGAGAGAGGGAGAGAGAGAATCTTAAGCAGGTTCCCTGCTCAGCATGGACCCCAGTGTGGGCTCAATCTCACAACCCTGAGATCATGACCTGACCCAGAATCAAGAGTCGGACCCTTAACTGACTGACCCACCCAGGCACCCTCTTCTGTTTCATTTGGTAGCCACCTCATCATTCTGGTTGCTCAGCCCAAGCACCTAATGACTGTGATTGGCTTTTTCATTCTCTGATACCCAACATGTGAATGACAGCAGACCCTGGGGCTCTTCCTTTCAAATATCCAGAATCAAACTTCCTCCATTGCTGTTACCCAGGTACAGGCCAGGGTTCTCTCTCTACAAGAGCCTCCCCACCTCTTCCCTTGCCCCCTGAAGTCTCTGAGCAAAAGCCAGAGTCCTTCCACTGGCTTGCAGGCCCTGCATGGCCTGGCTCTGTCATCTCCTTGTGCTCATCTGTTACGATTCTCCTACTCTAGCAGTAGTAGCCACCAGTGTTCTAAAGCGCCCGGCCCCCTCCCCATTAACACTGGACTCCTGTCCCACTACCCCTTGCCTTGCTCTGATTTCTGAACATAGTATTTTTGTCAGTGACATGATATATTATTATTAATGGTTGACCTCCTTCTAGAATGTGAAGTCTGTGAGGCAGAGACTTTTGTGTCCTTGGATGTGTCCTAAGGCATCTAGCACAGTGCCTGGCACATAGTAAGTCTTAGTAAACATTTGTTGGATGAATGAATGAATTTGAAGGCATTGTTCTTTGAAAAAGAGTATAAGTTGTCAGGACTATATGAATTCATGGTGTAAATATATGAGTTTCATAAGTATTGAAGGTTGGGACACTCTGAGGCTCCAGTTCTGGTAAGAGTGTCCTCTTGCCTATAACATGAGAACTGATTCATCGTTTCTAATTACACATGGGCTATATGTCAGTATGTTCTGAACTTCAGTAACACACACACCACCTTTGGGCTCTTTTTGTCATGTTAGATGCCACTGTGTCCTCCCTTTGTAAGTCAAGTCATATCTGTGTGCCTTCCTGTGCTTTTTATTTACTATTTTTCTTTAAATCAAGTCACTTTTACAAAATGT